CCGCCGCGCCCTGCCCTCGGCCGCTTCACCTTTCAGCACTGAGCTATAATTGAGTGCGATAGAGCAGATTGATATCTGCGCGCTCTCTCACTCGGATCCCCAGCAGCTTCTGCCGCCGCTGTATGGCTTTGTCAAAGCGCCGCTCCCGCGACCCTCGTTAGTAGTTTGAGCCAGGCTCCCCGCATCCTGCTCATCCCCCGTGGCAAAAGGCACTGTCAACATTATTAAACTCAGCCATTTGCTCCGATCATGCGCTTCTATGCATTTTCGATGTCAAAGTTAAGTGAAAAAGAAAGTTCAACACTGTTACTCGACCTGTGATGAGCAGTAAAAACAAGCTTAAGGTATTACATTTTAATTCCCTTTACTCTGTAAAACGAACGAAAACGAATCAACACGGAACTGTTTTCAGCTGTTCATAATTAACAATTAGGAAACCAGTTTTGAATAGAAAAGTGCGCTGGAAAGGACGGGCATGCAGCCTGGACTTTACTGCAGTTCGTTACAATTTGACCTTTTTGTTTTCTAATCCCTAATAATGATAATAATAGTTCGAAAACTGTTCGTCAACGCTCTGGAAATTATTCACGCTGTGTCGCTATGGTCGTTCACGGTGGCTGCCTCACGCGTGGTTGCGTGTGACCTTATAGCCCGAGGGTACCCCCTCCTTTCCCCCTTCCTCCCCATCCCCACTCCCGCCCCCGTGTCTCCTCGGGTGGGAGATCCGCTTCGCCGCCGTCACTTCAACACCCAGTTTACACACTACTTTGTGATGGCGCCGCCCTTCACCGCCTCCTCTCGCTGTGAGGCAGACAAGGCGGTGGCGTCCGCGACCATTAGCCCTCGTCTACCTCGGGCAGCCCTCCGCACCCCCGCGGGAGGCTGAGCTGGGGCCTCCGGGGGACCCACTAGAAGCAGCAGGGCCCGAGAGAGAGAGAGAGAGAGAAGGTTGGGGGCGAATAGAGAGACGAAAAGAGATTCGATCCAACCTGCCAGTCGCTGTGAGCGAAGGGGACATCAGGGGAAAAGAAAGGATGACCGTGAGCTAAAAGCCGAATCCTCCCTCTCTCCGGCTGTGCTATGCCAGTCTGCCCCTCTCCATTCCCAGTGTGCACGGTACAGCGAGCACTGCTGCACTCCAGAAGCTGGCTGGGCCATGCGCCGGCGGCGGCATTTGGTCGAAAGGGCAAAGGGTTCTATGGCTGCGCCGTAAGGGAAGGTTGGAATCATATCGCAAGGTGCGGCGTCTCGTTATAAACGTTGAGCCCCCCCCCCCCCCCTTCCCCTTCTCTTCCTCTCTTTCGCTCGTTCCCTTAACCTTATGTGATTCTGGCACCGTGTGGTCCAGGGTCCACAAGTAAAAAATATCCACATGAACAACAGTTTCAAACTGTAAATCAGAATGACAGCTCTAAATTGTGAAAAACTGCAGTCTACGCTATGGTTTGCAATGAATTATATAAGTTTTGAACTGTACTTTATAACCGTAAACCGTATAATAAAGAACAAAATTTTATGGTTTAAAACAGTTGTCCCCAATTAGTAGTTGAAAACTGTTATTAATGCTGCAGTGCTTTTTACAGTGTCTCTTTGCACGCCCCGCCCCATCCCTGGTCCTCGTCGTTTTCATCGATAAATCCCTTTGGCGTTTCAGTCGCATTATTTGCGTTGCTCTCAGCGGCTGCAGCGACAGATGCAGACTGTCGACTGGTCCGCTTTGGCCTGGAGCCTGGAGGGGACGGGGTACACATCACGTAGAAAAGGGAAAGAGGGGGAGGGGGTAGCAGACGAACATACGCATGTTCAGCAGTGTATTCCGTACCAGCCCAGGGCGGGCCCCACCTTGATGCTTTTGCTGTTATTTTTACCTCCGCTGTTGGACGGTATCGGATCGGAGCAGGGAGAGGAGTTGGGTGGAAAGGCAGGGGTTGGGGCGGGCGAGGGTCTGGGAAGGGATCGGCGGCGCAAGCGACGCTCGCAGCAGAGGAGGATCCGTGGACCGCGCCAGTCGAGTACTCCGGCGGAAACTTTTCGACAGCGGATCGCAAAGAGTGCGCCATTCACGCTTGTTCGTTCATGATCATGGCGTTTTGCCCTGCGCGAGACCCGGGCAGACGTCGTCGTTTGTCGTCGTAGAGTAGAGAAAAAAAGTTTTGAGAAACAAACATTTTCTCTGTGCTGGAACAAAAAAGCGCGGGACGCCGCTTCTCTCTGAGTAGTAGTGGCGTAGCGTAGCGGCGGCGACCGAGCGTTTGAGTCGCATGTCTGTATCGCTCGAGGCGGGCGCCGAGCGAGAGCGAGATTCAATTCGATCAATTCGACACGCTCCCCCTTCCCCCCCTTCCCTCTTCTCCGTTTCGCATCATCTCTTCTCTCTCTCTCTCCCTCCATCTCTCCCCCTCCCTTTTGCTGTGCGTCTCTCTCTCTCTCCCTGTCGGAATGGCTAGGCGGCGCGCCTCTCGACGAGCCGCATAGCGTGTCAAAGGAGACGTCGCTCCTATACTCTGATTCTGCGTGTCGCCCGCACGGCTCTCTGTGCGCGCTCCCGCTCCGTCTCGCGCCGCCCCAACGCTTACACCTGGGCGACCATCTCGGCGACGATGGAGGCCTACGACAATAAGGCGTGGGGTGTATCCAACCCTGTGTCCAGCACCGCGCCCGCCCCCTCCCCACCACCCCCTTAACACTTGAACAGATGTGTTCTCGATTTTTCATTTGATTGATTTTCTTGAGTGCTCTATGCGCTACACTGTGAAAAATATCGTGGTAAATTTACAAAATTTTTATAAACTCGAATTACAATTTAAGTTGTAAATTTACGAGAGCACATTTTTTAATCGCCAATGGATTTGAAGTCGATACGTACTGCATGTACTGCATTTTACGCTTCCAAATTGCAATTTTACAACTTGCGTCAAGGTAAATTTTCCTGTAAACCTACCTACTATTTTTCACAGTGCTAGTGTTGAGCAGTAAAATTTCCTGGGTATTTTGTATACCGCGTGTATTTTGACGTGGCAGCAAGGAAGAGCAGAAAGCTTTCAACGCGCACGGACTGCTGCACCTGCTGCTTGTTTGCGCCGCGTGGTGGCGGCGACGACCGCCTTAGTCCTGC